GTGAAGTACCTGGAGGATTGCTGTGAATTATACATTGGGGAAAACAAACAGCCTCTGGCTAAGAGCTGCTACTTTCACACAATTTATGCTTCAGCAGGAAATCTACTACGTAACTTGATCTGACACTGAAGAAGTTACTTAAATGAATGAGAAAACATTTCTCCCACATCCAGATGAACAGGATTTCTATACATGAATGATTGAGCATGCATCCAAACATAGAATTAAATTTTATCACTTATTTACCGCTGTCCTGTTTGGCTAAGTAAAGAAGGTAAACATTGTATCCACACCATGTCATCCCCACCATGTCAGCACCTTAGTATCCCATAGCTGTAGAATGTTACCATTGGATGTATTTGTAGTAACTAGAAACTAACTTATTATGATCTCTTCCTTGTGTATGAATATGTAGGTGGGAGAGGAAGTAGAGGCGCAGTATGTGTCTGTTGAGGATGAACAGCACCTGTCAGAGGCAGCGTTAGCAACCCTGCAGGACAACGGTAAAACCTTCGAGAAGCATCAACATCTTCAGGATAACTGAAGCTGTTTTATGTGCTTATAAAGTGTGTTTACCTATGTCCTATATAACACTGGATTCATTTAGTGCCTTTTCTGTTCAGTTAACATCCAGCAGATCACTGCGCTCAGTTCAGAGACTCAGGATGCCGTCACCTCCATGGTCGCCATGGCTCCAGGCACTGTAGCTGTTGTACAGCAGGTGAGCGACAAAACATCATCGTGTAAGGAGGTGAGATTTTACAAAATGGCAAAAAGTTTATGTTGAGCTGTGTCTGAAGTTGCAGGTGGCCGACGAGCAGGAAGTCGGTAACTGCGGCAACCAGCTGATGGTGGTAAACACAGAGGGGGCCCTAAATGGTGACCAGGTGATGGTGTTAGAGGAGGGACACAGCCTGGAGGCACTGACGGTCCTTACTCAGGGAGACGACACACACCACTATATTGTCTACGTACAGGAACACACTGTAGAAATCAACTAGTGTTTTGCTACCATTTTATCATAATGTACCAATAAACAGTAAAATATGGATTTAGCAACATTTTCAACACTTAGTTACATATATTTTTCAGACAGTAATGAAATTAAGTGCAATACGCCTGTGATAATGTGGTATATTTTGTACTAACAAAGTATATTTTAATAAAATC